AAAGGGGCCAAGTTTTGAAAACCCTGTAAAGGTCATCTTGAAACATTTCTGAGGAGCAAGTTGTGAAGCAGCGTAGCATTAGCCACACTCGTCTGCGTCAGAGACCTTCAGGTTTCTCGAAATGGGGGGTGGGGGGTGGGGCGTCCAGTCGGGTATTAGTCAGGTTTATGCATAGGTTTTTGGGTGGGGCTTGAGAACGAGGACATCTAGGATTTAGGGTTCAGGATTAGGGACCCCTTCCACGAGCTATGCGGAGACAGATGGTTTGGGGTTGAGGGCTTCTCAAAATAGGGAGCTTTTCAGGGAGACTCATCGAAACGAGAGAGTATGCAAGTCCCTGGGAACGAGTATGTAGGGATAATTTTCTCTAGCTACGGAACTATATGAGCTGTAGTCGAAACTCCTAGTATCCCCCTTAATACGCCCTATAGTAGTGCCTATATAACTCCCTATATAACCCTTTAAGGAGTTTAGACTACAGCTAATATGGTCTTGCTGTCAAACCGTAAACAATATGGTAGCTTCAATTTTCTCTTCCACTCTCCCGTGTCCTTATACATCCCTATGTATGCTTATACTTACGCGTCCTTATATGTGCTTTGATTAAGGGGTATTGGGTCAGTATTGGGTGTTCGGAGTAGAGATTACACACTGAATCCCAGAACCTAAACCTTAAACCCTAAACCTTAAACCCTATATCCTAAACAGTAAACCTGAAACCTTAAACCCTTAACCTTAAACCCTAAGCCCTATAACCCATAAACCCTGAGCCTTAAACCCTTTTCTGAAGCTCCCACCAGGCCCAGACGGATAAGTTGCTGGAAAAAGCAAAGCCGGATGTCCAAAACAGCGCAGCGTCTGCTTTTGTCATGTCCTTTCTGGCAAGGGTGTAGGGTTTCGGGGTTCAGGGGCTTAGGGGTTTAGGGGTTTAGGGGCTTAGGGGTTTAGGGCTTAGGGGTTTAGGGGTTCAGGGTTGGGGGTTCAGGTTTAGGGTTTAGGGTTCGTCCACTGTTATTTCCTTTGTGCTGAAGTTTTAGGGACGCAGGCTTGTCTGCTGTCATGTCCTTTGTCTTACCCACGGGTGTTCAGGACTTGGGGTGAAGCTCACAACAGTTTGCGGAACCCCCTTCCGAACCCTGATAATTCCTAATATAAGGCCGCGGTAGAGGATGGGGGGGGGGTTAATTCATTCGGGGGAGGTGGTGACCCATACTCAGTAGTTGGGAATGGGGTGTGGCGTTCTAGAGTTGTTCCTGGGTAATCCAAAATTATCCCTGCTTAGTTAAGGTTTTAGTAACTTTAGTGCTGAAGGTAGAATTCTAACCTGGTCTTGGTAACTCCTTCCCACTGCTGCACTTAACATTTTGCAGTACGATCAATCTGTGGAATTCTGTAACCTGAACCCGTGTGATCAGAGGTTGAAGATACCAGGCTGCTCCTAGCTAATTTAAACCCAGGTACCATTGCGAGCCACCCCATGACTTACTACAGGTCCATAATCCGTCAAATTAGCTTTGAACTTCTTAGCGCCCCTCCAAAAGAGTCTTGAAGTGCACCCAGAATCTGCCAATACACGCACTTGAGGCTGAACAGGCTCCCCTTCCGAGGCCTTTGCTCTGAATTGCAGCCACAGGCCACGACCTATGTTCTGGTTTGCTGCTAAGCCCTTGATAATCATGGTAACTTAACTGAAAGTTCGTTGTTAGAAGCCCGGCCTGTGTTCCATACTATGAAGACGACTGTTGCAAGCCACAAGCGATTGAAGGCTGCCGCGTAGGGACTCAAATCTCTTTCCGCAAAGACCAGGAGGATGGAGGCAAAAGCTACACACGCCAGCGCTGCGGCTAGGGCCAACCAACTGGCCAGTCGATCCGGGATTGCCAACTGGTCCTTAGCTAACTGTAGGACCCACCCAGAAAAGTGAAACTCTCAGCTTCCCTAGAATACTTGGGGGGTCAGGTGGACTTAGAAGTAGGTTCACAAGAGAGATAGCTAGGGTTACCATATGGGTTAAAGGCGTTCTTAACCTACTTACTGAGTCCCCCTGACCCTCCAAGTCATGGGTAGGAAGCCCAAAAAACCTTCCCTAAACCCTAAACCCTAAATCAAGTCCCAAAGCTGAAGGCAGCCATGGCTCAGAGGTACCACAAGAGCCTTTGGAAGTGGCTGCGCCCAGCACGGTGTACTGCACCGCGCATGCGCTATCTTGGCCATGCCCAACCGCCATCCTAAGACCTTCCTTCCTTAGGGTTTATAGGGTTTAGGGTTTAGGGTTTACAGAGTTTAAGGTTTACAGAGTTTAGGGTTTGGGGGTTTATATGGTTTAGGGTTTATATATAGAGTTTAGAGTTTAGGGTCTAGGCTTTCGGGTTTATGCTTTCGGATTTAGGGCTTTAGGGTTTAGGGGCTTATAGGGTTTAGGAATGGAGGGTCAAATTGACAAATGGAAGATGATATGGAAACTGTGTTGTGTCTTGCGGTTCTATGAAGACATGCGTCTAAAGCCTACAAAACGGTTTCGCGCCTACGAGCGGAGAATCAATGACATGGAAATGGGATTATATGTTGAATATTCACATACACACACAGACATATATATGTATATATACATATATGTGTATAGAGAAGGGCTTGAATAATTTCCAATACCCTTTGGAGGTCTATTGGAGCTACCTATCCAATGGGTATACAAGGAATCTGGGGCCACAATCACAATGTTGGTAACTATCTGGTCTAGGCTTCTGCATTCAATACGAAACCCCAGACGACCAGCTGATGGCGCCGTTGAGGGGATAATGTTCAAGACCTATAGTCTCCGTCGTGTAAATAGAATGCGGCTTTGGGCATACTCTAATCAGATCCCAATATAGCCCATATTCTATACACTTAAGGCTTGCGGGGGACTGTAAGTACCCACTCTAGCTTCCGACTGAGCTTGCCTTGGGCCTTGCATAATGTATGGGGCCTGTGGACCTAGGAATCAGGAAGTTCCCACCTGAGGTTTTTGCGTCTTTGCGCTCAACATGTATGTAAAGTCTTTGTGCACATCGAGATGCACCTTGAGCCGAGGAGCTGTTTGAATAGAAAAGACATGAAAGGTTAGGAACCTGGATTGCGGGCTTGAGGGTCTTATTCAGGGTTTGTGGTCTCATAGTTATCATCATCTTGAATAGCTTTAGTTGTGGTGTCAACGCAGCATAGCACTCTTTGCGCGGGAAATGTGGCTACGAGGATTTGAAAGTGGCTGCGGCATTTCTCATTAACCGAGAACTGTGACTCCGCTCCAGTCCAACATGACAAGCTTACTGACAGGTTAGGGGGCGCGGTTGTGGTCGTTGCGGTGGCAGTTGTGGTGGGTACGGCTATGGTGGTTTGGGTGCTGCCGTCAGCGTCGTCATCGTGGTTGTTGTTGTTGTTGCTGCTGCCGGTGCTGTTGCTGTTGCTGTTGCTGTTGCTGTTGCTGTTGCTGTTGCTGCTGTTGTTGTTAAGAATGCTGCTGCTGCTGCTGCTGCTGCTGTTGCTGCTGTTGTTGCTGCTGTTGCTGCTGTTGCTGTTGTTATTTTTGTTGTTGTGGCTGTGGCTGTGGTTGTGGTTGTGGTCAGAACAACAGACGTGGTCACTACTGTGGTTTCTACCCATGGTAGAAACAAAAAGATAATATGGAGTTTTACAGACTCACTGTTTTTGCTTGTAACTTGTTGTTGATTATGATGTTGTTGTTAGGATACGCAAATGTGGAAGGGTCGCCACGTTTGGACGTTGTGTGTTTGGAGGGGTTGGGGGTGGGGGGTGGGAAGTACATTGTTTGGTTGCAGCATCCGCAGCAACGGCCAGCTTCCTGTAAGAGCCCCGTAGATGCATGCGGCTGTGCGCATGGATGCTGCGCGCGACATGTTTTTGAGGAAGCGAGGAAGCGATGCATTTTCTGATATTCTTTGTTTTGGAAAAGAAGTTGTGCGTGCTGCTGTGTTTTAGCGCGATTTTAGATGATCTTTTTGCTGCCCGAAACGGTTTCCAACATGGGCCTTTGAGAAGCTTGTATGGGAAGTAAATGGGTTTCAAGGCTTATGTTCTCCGGAATGCTTTGCGAGACTATGCTTCTCAACAGATCAACGGGATGTTTCGCAGTAGCATGCTTAAGGCACCCGCATATTCATTCACCATTCATGCTCAGAATACACATAGTTCAAACCTTCTTTTTCTTGAAAGGGTTTGCACGCGTGGCCGAGGAGCATAAATGAAAACGAACCAATCAAAAATAGACGCGTGACCAAGCAAAAATTACCCTAAACATTGCGAAGCGATTTCTCTTTTTCCTAAGCCCCGTTTGCAACGCGCAAAATGGATCATATGCGTTGGTCTGCAAGAACCAAAAGTGTCAAACATTGCCGCCTTTTTGGACCTCAAAAATGGTCCCTGTGCAAAAACTAGTGCGTTTCGGCATATGGCGAAAACAGTGACAACGCTTCCACGGCCGCGATTGCGTATCATGCTTTGTTGTTGTTGCTGTTGCTGTCGCTGCTGCAGCTGCTGTTGTTGTTGCTGGTGGTGTTGGTGGTGCCGCTGCTTCTGCTGCTGCTGCTGCTGCGGCTGCTGCTGCTGGCAATGTCGTCGTTTGTGGTGGCGGTGGCCACGGCGGTGTTGGTGGCAGCGGTGGTGGTGCCCGCCGTCGTCATCTTATCGTACTTTGGTAGAACATTCACACTACGACAAATCTCGTAGTAGCCACAGAAGTAGCACGAAATCTGCAATGTCAGCGGGGCTCTCGCTCTGACCTAAGCAGGTCTTGCACTCAAGCTCAAACAAACCTGCTTCGGCAAGCAGCATAGCTTCGAAAGTCGCTTTCGAGCCCGTGGTTGAGCTGCTGCCGAGGAAAAGACTGAGGGCTTGCTTTTGCAGTCCCTCAGCGTTTGGAGACAGATGTGGACATTACTGCACATGTTGCAAGCATGCCGCCTGCGCAGCCTTGCGATGCGCACTGCTTTGTGGCAGTGACTGTGCTAATGTCTACTCGGCGAGGCGACCATGCCATGCAAAGGCCTAAGGCTGAATTCCTTCAGTAACAGCATGGTCTGCAAAGCACAGAGGCGCTCCATCACAACCATGAAAAAGTTGTATTTACTTGCAAGTAGGCGGAGCTGAGAGCACATCAACGCCCAATGCGAACCCCTACACAGAAACCAAACAAGCTTGACAATGAACAGCTGGAAGACAATTCTACGGAGCTTGGTATGCTCTCTACTGCCATCTCGCACGCGCGAAGTTGCAGAAACCTTCAAACCAAGCCAGGCAAGTAGGACTCCAAGGATCAGAAACACCAGGTAAAACTTGTTTTCTTGCTCTACAAACTCTTCAGTGGATTCTGTCGACCTGGCGAAGACCATGACGAACAGCTCTCCCAGAAATGCTGTCGGTAGAAAGCTGCGCAGGAAGTACCATGCCAACAGATTGAACGCACGTCCAAAACAGTCCCACTCTCGCTGCAGCGTGCCCTGCAATGGCTGCGAGGCAAGCAGCTGAAAGAAAACAGACATTGCAGATGCTAACAAACATGTGTTGATGATGTTGTATACGAAAGACCTCGCAAGCAGTTTCACGCTTGATGATAAACAGCTCCACGGAAGTGACATTGCATTTGTGGCGCTAAGGCAACAACTCACGAACACAAGCCACAGTGTGCGCCTTGAGGCTGACGCTTGGTGACGTTCTCGTCTGAGCGCTTGCAGCAGTTGCCAACTCAGCCGAAGTGTGACGCCTAACCAGCAGAGATTCAGCCCCAGCGCAAGAATGCAGCGATTCATTGGAAGCAGGCCAAACAGGCGGCATTCGAAGTCCTCCCACTGCCACAGATTTCTGTCAGCCAAATGCAAGTTGCAGGGGTCACAGTCTGTACAGAAGCAGGACTGCCCAGGACAGCCAGTGCTGTGCCGACCGGTCATGACCGTACACTGCATGTCCAAGCTCTGCAACAAAGCCCAAAAGATAAAAGTGACAACCAGAGCTGCAAGGACTCCAGCTGCAAGCATCAGAGCCTGCACCAGTCGCAATGGCAGGCAAAGTCCTTCATCCTTTGGTCGTATTTGGGGTATATAGGGCTATATAGGGTTGTATAAGGATATGCATAGGGGTATATAGGGTGCTGAATACGGTGTTTTACATGACATGAAAAGTGTGAGTGGTGCCAAAACTTCCCTAAGCAAAAGCCTTGTTCTAACAACGTGGACGTCGTCCCTGCCAGGCAAGAAGATGTTTGACATGTCTCCGCGGCAATTCCTCCATGGTCGTTGTGTCCCGCTGCTGAACATGTCCACTTCTGCCTGTGCCTCCTTGCACACGGCCTCCAAGTCCTGGAGCACATCACTGGAAGGTTCAGGATACAATCCCCGTTAAGTAGATAGAATATGGCTTCGGGTATATTATAATAAGATCTCCATATACCACATAGTCTATCTGAGTCTATCTACTTAAGGGGGACTTAAGTATAACCCGAACATAACTGATACTAACAACTTATAACCCATTTTTGACCATATTAGGACACTTAGGGGGCTTGTTGTTGCGTTTTACGTACAATTCTGCTGGGGTTACAAATTCCCTGAACCTCCAAGCAACTAAGAGACTTAGATTCTGTGTTGGATATGTTGGCGTGGATGGTCGGTGGCCATTTGTGAATCTGTAAGTATGGCTGTCATGTGAGTGCAAACAGAGAATGCCAAGACATTCAGTGTGAAAGGTAGCTTGGTCTCTGTCGTGGTGGGTATGTCTATGTACCAGGAAGGATTTGCAAGTGTCGTAGCTTCAGGCGGCTGGGTGTAGTGTGGGTGTGGGTTACTGCAAGATTCTTGCGCAGGAAGGCCCAAATGCTGGACCGAAAGCACGCCCTGCCCTTAAGGGATCCTGCGTAGGGCTCCCTAAAGGGTTTAAGGTTTAAGTTTCGGCTTTAGGGTTTAGGGTGTCAAGAGAAAGCGTTGAGTAGCTTTGACTGGCCTGATAGCTGCCCAGTACTGTTGTGGTCAGACTCGGTCAGACGCACAAACCCGGGGCTAAGTTCACAGACATGTAAGGAACCCGAACTACATATACAAATATGTAAATATGCATATATTGTATATATATATATACACTTGTCTATCTATTAATCTATTTATTTACCTGTTTAAAGATGACAAGGTGAGAATGGATTATGGGGGTATGGGGGTTGCTCTTATCATTGAATGAAATTCCGCACTGCAACAAACAACATAGAACAGCGTCTGATGGGGTGCCCTGTGCGTGCTCGCAGCAGTAACTCCTATGTGGGCGTGTTGCGAGCACTACGACTGCACTATGAGCTGCTTGTGCCACGTGTCCTTGCTGCTGTCCTGCATAGCATGTATCAGAGCATCTGCTAGAGATGGCTGATCACGAGCCAGCCGACCCCTATCACATGCCAGCAAGATCTGAAAATCTGTAGGGGAGTGCCATCGCGAGCGTTTCGGCTCTTTTTCCTCGTTATTTGTCCATGTCGTGATTCCACGATTCTCACGACAGGTGTCGATCACGAGCCAGACCTTCAGCTTGCACTCTCTCATTGAGTCTAGAGGCCGCAATAGCATGGAATCCAGGTGAACGCAGCCAGCTTCGCAGATTGTTGATGTGGCTTCTGATGTCAGAATAGACGGAAGCTCCCCGGCTTGCATCTGCTGACCATGCCCCGCAAGATAAATTACGACCAGCTGGCTTGTCTTATGTGGTGCGCGGCTCCCGCGGATCACTTTCAAGAAGCTGTTGATTGCTTCCCCCAGCTTGAATTCTGTCACTACGCCCACACAAAGGAACAGGCCGTTCTTTTTCAGGCCTCTGCATCGTAGCTTTCTGGCAAAAAGCTCAGCATCTTTCTTGGCCTTGGGAAGATCGGTAAGGTTGGAATAGCTGCCTATGCCAACACAAAGCGCAGCGAGGAAGGAACAGGTCTCCATCTCATGCTATACTGCTATACTTACACTGCGGCCTCTTGCAATCTGCAACTTTGCCTGGCTGAAAAACCAGCTACGAGAATTTTCACAGATTGCAACCGCAAGTATGGAACTCGCTCTGAGCCTTCACAGCAAGAGCAGACACCCCCTGGCATGTGATCTTCAGCCAGCCCCCTAGTCATGTAGAATGCATCATAGGAAGGAAGCTCGAAATAGTTCTCAAGCTTACGCTTCCATGTGTGGCTGGGTTTGATGTCTTTACGTGCAATGGCAGCGTCAGTCCATCACAAGAACTCTGCCGTTCCATTTTGCACCATGGGACGCAGGTGTCTTGTGCAAAGGCTGCCTGCGAAGACCCAACTTCATCAACTTGTAGAAGAATATGCTGCCCACCGTGAGCAGGATGAAGCTTAAGGGTTCATTACTTTAAGGGCAGTGTCCAAATTGCCTACGTGACCTTCACATGACGTTTCAAGGGTTGCAAACTTGTTTAGGCCTTGCAGCAATCATGCTTTGAGCATGTGGAAGCCTCAAATTGCAGATCTTCCGCACTCGAAAATGTCGGGGCTTCCTCAAATGTCAGAATGGCAGCTTCGAAGCCTAGAGGGGTTGTGAGGAGATTGAAGGATGAGACAAATTTCTACGACTATTACGTATTCAATACGGTTATTGATATGTTTACTGTTACGAATATTATTGCTGTTATTCCTATTGTTCTGGATATTCTTATATTAGTACTACCGCTGTTTCTATTATTACTATTGGTAGTATTGCTACGATTATTGCTATTATTGCTACCATTACTATTATTCCAAGCCTTTGAGAAGCGCCCATGTAGGGTTCTGGCAGATTTCTGCATACTACACCCTTGACAGACAAGGTCTGCCACGTGGGAATTTCAAACTTTGGGGTCCCTTCTGGGTATCTACAGTCCACCTTATGTAGATAGAATATGGGGTATCTGCGAATCTTCGTATAATATACCCAAAGCCAAAGCCATGTTCTACCTACTTAAAGGGGACTTTACGTACAGTGAAGACTGTACTGTATTGGGGTGAAGAAGGGCCCCCCTGTTTATGAAAACTCCCAGAGCACGGCGGAGAGCAAATGAAAAGATTCAAAAGATCTAATTCCCAGAAGCCAGGTGCTTCTCACTGGAGTTGACGGAACTGAAGCCGACTTAATCAATTGATCCTTTTGACCTTGCACAGGCAAGGAGCATCAAATTTGCCTGTACCGGTGCCCTGTGAGAATACATAGGCTATGCCAACACCTCAAGCACGAACATTCCCACTTCCAGCAACGGGTATGTCAAGTGTTTGCGAGCAAAATGGAGCAATGTGCACAGGTGTACCTCAAAGAATATACTCTTAAGCCATGTTGGAGGTACTCGCTAGATCTACTAAACATACTCATCGATGTGGGGACGATATTGGGAGCACTTACTGTAAGGGGGAGGACAAGCACTGTGGTTTGATCATGTCGGGTCGTTGCTTGGTAAGGAAACGTTGCTCCACCTCGGATGGTCATATCCGAGCAGCACTTCCTTGCGAAATCGTACTCCCACAACAAATTTTAGCCATACCCGCACTTTGGTGACTTTAGCCTAGACCTTAGAATCGGCAAAATAGATATGATACATGAAATCAACACTGTGTCCGAGAACATGAGGGTCCTGAATCATGTCTTTGGTTTGTTGATGAGATGTGGAGATCTACAGGATCTCAAAGGTCTCCTTTGTAAGCCGCCTTGATTCCTGAAGGGTTTAGGGTTTAGGATTAAGGTTTGGGGTTGGGGTTAAAGCCATTTGTGGTACAAGAGTGGCCCCTGTGTCATCCCCACAATCTAGCAAGTCCTATTCTCTTTTCCATTCCTTCATTCCATTGCCATGCAGAAGAAACGTTGCAATGTAGACAGCTCTTTGGTGCAGGAAAGGCGCTGCCCCATTGCAAGTAGCTCATCGAAGATATAAAACTTGACCTCAAACATTTTTGTCCATGGGTTTTAGCCTTGTTAGGCTGGTTTCCAACAGATGGGGTTGCACAGGTGAAGGACCAACATGCTTTGAACTTGAACTAATTACAGGTTAAAAGCTGCTCTGGTTTGAGGCTGAGGGATCACAATTCTTGGTACAAGTTACCGTCAACTTCCGGCGACATGTCAAAACTGACCCCGGCCAAAACAGACCATGGACACCGCTGAATGTCGCTGAGAATCCCACACCTGAACTTTGTACCGTAAACCCTTCATCCAGTAAGCGCAAGCGCTGACTCCAAAACCCCAAACACTTCATGCAGCAGTGTCCCGAACCCATCGTGTTAGCAACTTGGGCAACTCAGGGCATGCACCCTAAACCCTAAACCCTGAACCCTAAACCAAAGAGACTCCTAAAGCCTAAGACATGAACTGCGGGGCTAAAAAGACCCAAAATTAGCAGACATCCCCAGTTTCAGGCTAGGGTTTCAGGGTTCAGGGAAAAGGGCGTCGGGCAACATCTAAACCCTACCCCCCCCGACCCCCGGCGTAGAGTTTAGGGTCTACATAGGGTGTTGCAATTGATCCTTTAAGTGATACAGTGGGGGGTTTCAGGTTTAGGATGGTTTAGGGCTATTGCCCCACAACCCGAGGTTTAGGGCTTAGGGCTTAGGGTACCCATTCGTTTGTTCGGCTCATGGCTCCTGTCCCTAGAATCAGATACTTGTTCTTCTTACCTCAGGCCAGCCAGAAATCAAGGACTACAGCCCTTTAAACCTTCAGCCCTAAGCCCGTATGATCCACTAGAGTGTAGTAGTTTCATGTACTTGTCCATTACTTGCTTCCTTGCTAATAGGTAAGTCAGGGGCAGGTAAACGTAAGTTTCTAATCAAGCCCCGACCGCTAAACCCGAAACCCGCATTCCTAATCCTGTAATGATGTCCCTTGGTTTCAGGAAAAACCAACGATAAAGCTAGGAATACCACCTTCAGAAGCAGGGGCCTCAGCCTCATGGAGAGTACAATTTTTTTGGAGCGCACCATCACCAATCCGAAGCCAAGAATCATCCGAGAGTCTGCAACTCGAGATGGTTTTATCATACGAGCCATAGTCAAGACCCCTAGTATCCCGTGTAAAAAGCCCCCCAAAGTAGTCCCCTAGATCATCCCTATAACCCCCTTTAAGGAGT